ACATAGTACCGTGTAGCTGTTGTGTTGATGCAACACAACATAGCACCGTGTAGCTCCTGTGTTGCTGCAACACAACATAGCAAAGTGTAGCTGTTGTGTTGATGATACACAAACATAGCACCGTGTAGCGCCTTGTGTTGCCTGCAACAATCCATAGCACCGTGTAGCTGCTGTGTTGCTGAACACAAACATTGCACCGTGTAGCTGCTGTGTTGCTTGCAACAAAAAACACTTGCCACAGTTGAGCTGTTTGTGTTGCTGCAACACAATTAGCACCCGTGTAAGCTGTTGTGTTGATGCAGCACTTACATAGCACCGTGTTGCTGCTGTGTTGCCTGCAAACCACAAACATAGCAACGAGTAAGCTGCCGTGTTGCTGCAACACAACATAGCAACCGTGTAGCTGTCGGTTGATGCACACAACATAGCACGTGGCAGCTATGTGTTGCTGCCAACGCACATAGCACTGGCGTAGCTGCGTGTTGCTGCCAACACACATATGCAGGTGTAGCTGCCGTGATGCTGCAAAACAACATAGCTCCGTGTAGAAAACTGCTGTGTTGCTTGCAACACAACATAGGCACGTGTAGCTGTTGTGTTGGTTGGCAACACAAACATAGAACCGTGTAGCCGCGTGATGATTTGCAGCACAACAAAGCACCGTGTTGCTGCTGTGTTGATTGCACACTACTATAGTACCGTGTAGCTGTTGTGTTTGATGCAACCAAAACATAGCAACGTTGTTAGCTGCTGTGTTGCATCAAACAACATAGAAACAGTGTAGCTGCTGTGTTGATTGCAACAAACATTCCAGCACCGTGTAGCTGCTGTGTGATGCTAAACAAACATAGCACCGTGTAGCTGCCGTGTTTGATGCAACTCAAACAAGCACCGTGTAGCTGCATGTGTGATGCTAACACTAACATAGCACCGTGTACCTGTTGTGTTGAATGAAACACAACATAGCACGTGTAAGCCGCCGTGTTGATGCTGCAAAACAAAAAACGTGGTTGCTGCTGTGTTGTAACCCTTAATGCAATACAACATTTGTACCGTGTAGTGTGTGTTGATGCAACACAACATAGCACCGTGTAGCTGCTGTGTTGCTGCATAACAAACATTGCTCAGTGTAGGCTGTGTGTTGCTGCAACACAACATTGCACCGTGTAGCTCCTGAGTTGCTGCATCAACATAGCACCGTGAGCTCCTGGTTTGCTGCAACACAACATAGCATAGTGTAGCTGTTGTGTTGCTGCAACACAACATAGCACCGTGTAGCTGCTGTGTTGCTGCAACACAACATTGCACCGTGTAGCTGTGTGTTGCGCTACACACATTGCACAGTGTAGCTGTTGTGGTTGCTGCAACTCAAACACCTAGCACAGTGTAGTGCGTACTTGTGTTGCAACACAACATATAGCCACAGTGTAGCTGTGTTGTTGCTGACAACACAACATAGCACGTGTAGCTGCTGTGTTGCTGCATACACAACATGCACAGTTGTAGCTGTTTGTGTTGCTGCCAACATTAACATTGATCAGTGCGCAGATGCTTGTCGTGGACTGCTAAACACTACCATAGCCCGTGAGAACGCCTGTTTGCTGTCTGTGATGCAGCACAACCACATAGCACCGTGTTGCTTCCTGTTGTTGCTGCAACACAACATAGCAACCGTGTAGCTGCCGTGTTGTTGCAAAGCAACTAGACGTGTAGCTGCCGTGTTGATGCAACACAACATAGCACCGTGTAGCTGCCGTGTTGCTGCAACACAACATAGCACCGTGTAGCTGTTGTGTTGATGCAACACAACATAGCACCGTGTAGCTGCTGTGTTGACTGCAACACAACATAGCACCGTGCCGTTGTAGTTACTTGCCGTGTTGATGCAACACAACATGGCACCGTTGTAGCTGCTGTGTTGATTGCAACACAAACTTGGGCCACAAAAAAAAACCGTTGTAGATGCGTGTTGTTTTTTTTTTTTTTTTTTTTTTTTTTTTTTATGCAACACATTCATAGCACCGGTAGCTTCTGTGGTGATTGCAACACAACATAGCACGTGTAGCTGTCGTGTTGATGCAACACAAAATAGCACCGTGTAGAATGCCGTGTCTGATGAAACACATGATAGCACCGTGTTAGCTGACGTGTTGATGCAAACACAATCAATTGCACACGTGTTTGCTGCTGTGTTGCTGCATACACAACTCTCAATGCACCGTGTAGCTGCGGTGTTGCAGCATACAAAACATAGCACCGTTGTAGCTGCTTGTGTTGCTGCAACACACTTTTTATAATATTCAACCCGCATCATCAATAATGTTTTATGCAAGCCAGGTTGAGTGTCTTGTCTATAAGAGGCATCCAGGTGAAGTGTGTACTTGTTATCAGAGGCAGCACAGGTAGAGTTGTACTTGTCTATCTGAGGCTTCAGACAGGTAGTGTGTACTTACTTGTCAATCAGAGGCGGCAGGTAGAGTGTTCTTGTCTATCAGGAGGCAGCCAGGTAGGGTGTACTTGTCAATCTAAGGCAGCCAGGGTGAGAGTGTATTGTCTAATCAGAGGGCAGACCAGGTAGAGTGTACTTGTCTATCAGAGGCAGCCAGGTAGAGTGTACTGTCTATCAAGAGGCAGCCAGGTAGAGTTGTTAATTTTGTCTATCAGAGGCAGCCACGGTAGCAGTAGTCTTGTCTATCAGAGGCAGCCAGGGTAGAGTGTACTTGTCTATCAGAGACTGCCAGGTTCAGAGTTTTCTTGTCTTCAGAGGCATCCAGGTAGAGTGTACTTCGTCTATCATGAGGCAGCCAGGTTAGAGTGTACTTGTCTTTCAGAGGCTGCCAGGTAGGTGTACTTGTCTATCGAGGCAGCATGGTAGAGTGTACTTTGTCTATCAGTGGCTGCCAGGTAGGTGTTACTTGTCTATCAGAGGGCAGCCAGGGTAGTGGTGTACTTGTCTATCAGAAGGCAGCCAGGTAGAGTTTGTACTTGTCTATCAGAGGCACTGCCAGGTAGTTAGAGTTGTACTTGTCCTATCAGAGGCAGCCAGGTAGAGTGTATTGTCTATCTCGAGGGCAGCCAGGTAGAGTGTACTTGTTATCAGAGGCAGCCCATGAGTTTAGTAGTGTACTTGTCTATCAGAGGCAGCCAGGTAGAGTGTATTGTTCTGATCAGAGGAGCCAGGTAGAGTGTTACTTGTCTATCAGAGGCCTGCAAGGTAGAAGTGCCACTTGTCTATCAGAGGAAGCCAGGTAGAGATTGTACATTGTCTATCAGAGGCAGCCACGGTAGTGTGTACTTGTCTATCATGAGGCTGCAAGGTAGAGTGTAGTGTCTATCAGAGGCAGCCAGGTAGAGTGTACTTGTCTATCAAGAGGAGCCAGGTTGGTGTACTTGTCTATCAGAGGCAGCCCAGGTTAGAGTGTACTTGTTAGTCAGATGCAGCAAGGTAGATGTACTTGTTCTATAAGAGGCAGCTAGGGTAGAGTTGTTTTTGTCTATCAGAGGCTGCCAGGTAGGTAGAGTGTTACTTGTTATCAGAGGCGCCAGGTTGAGTGTACTTGTTCTATCTGAGGCAGCAAGGGGTAGATGTGTACTTGTCTATCAGAAGGAAGCAGGTAGGTGTGTACTTGTCTATCAGAGGCAGCCAGGTAGAGTGTACTTGTCTATCAGAGGCAGCCAGGTAGAGTGTACTTGTCTATCAGAGGCAGCCAGGTAGTGTGTACTTGTATATAGAGGACAGCCAGGTTTAGAGTGTTACGTGTCTATCAGAGGCAGCCAGTAGAGTGTACTTGTCTATCAGAGGCAGCCAGGTAGAGTGTACTTGTCTATCAGAGGCAGCCAGGTAGAGTGTACTTGTCTATCAGAGGCAGCCAGGTAGAGTGTACTTGTCTATCAGAGGCAGCCAGGTAGAGTGTACTTGTCTATCCAGAGGCAAGCAGGTGTAGAGTGTACTGTCTATCAGGCAGCAGAGAGTTGACGTGTACTGTCTATCAGGGCAGCAGGTAGAGTGTACTTGTCTATCAGAGGCAGACATGGTAGGTGTAACTTTTCTATCAAGAGGGCAGCCAGGTAGAGGTGTACTTGTCTATCAGGGCAGCCAGGTAGAGTGTACTTGTCTATCAGAGGCAGCTGGTAGTGTGGACTTGTCTCTTCAGGGCAGCCAGGTTAGAGTGTATTGTCTATCAGAGGCAGCCCGGTAGAGTGTAATTGTCTATCAGTAGGCAGCCAGGTGAGTGTATTCTATCAGAGGAAGCCCCAGGTAGAGTGTACTTGTCTTTCAGAAGCAGCAAGGTTAGAGTGTACTTGTCTATCAGAGGGGCAGCAGGTAGAGTGTTGTACTTGTCTATCAGAGGCAGCCAGGGATAGAATCGTTATTGTCTATCAGAGGCAGGCCAGGTAGAGAGTTGTACTTGTCTATCAGTGGCAGCCAGGTAGAGTGTACATTGTCTATCATGAGGCAGGCCAGGTCAGTGTCGTACTTGTCTATCAGAGGCAGCCAGGTAGAGTTTTCGTGTCTGTCAGAGCAGCCAGGTAGAGTGTTAATTGTCTATCAGAGGCAGCGGTAGAGTGTACTTGTCTATCAGAGGCAGCCAGGTAGAGTGTACTTGTCTATCAGAGGCAGCCAGGTAGAGTGTACTTGTCTATCAGAGGCAGCCAGGTAGAGTGTACTTGTCTATCAGAGGCAGCCAGGTTTAAATTTATTGTCTATCAGAGCAGCCAGGTAGAGTGTACTTGTCTATCAGAGGCAGCCAGGTAGAGTGTACTTGTCTATCAGAGGCAGCCAGGTAGAGTGTACTTGTCTATCAGAGGCAGCCAGGTAGAGTGTACTTGTCTATCAGAGGCAGCCAGGTAGAGTGTACTTGTCTATCAGAGGCAGCCAGGTCGAACCACGGTCCCTGGCCACTCCACGCAACTCACTATGACATGCCACATTGTTGTCCACCCTCCAACCCCCCAGCTGCGTGTGTCATTCCTACCCGTAAAACTGCGTATGGACTCACCGATGATATTGGTGGACTGCATATGGAAGGCGTTCACAACATACGGCTGCACTGTGAAGGTCCAGCTGTAACACCCAACCAAAACTCTCTTTATCACGGTCGTCTGATGACATTATTATTATTATTATTATTATTATTATTATTATTATTATTATTATTATTATTATTATTATTATTATTATTATTATTATTATTATTATTATTATTATTATAAAAGCGCCTGGAGAATAAGAGATAATCAGGTTTGATCCAAGGAGAGTGACTTACATGAAAGCTCCTCTCTCAATGGGTATGTGATAGAGACGGTAGAGTTCTCTCCTGAAGACTCGGTATAGCTCCTGGACCGCCTCCAGGAAGCTGAAGTCTTCCTGAAACCTTATCTGTGGGAGACATGACTGTAGTTACTGTGGGAGGTGACCAAATTATCTGTGGGAGACATCACTGTAGTTACCGTGGGAGTGATCACCTTATCTGTGGGAGACATGACTGTGCTACCCTTGGCAAATGATAAACCTACTGTGGGAGACATGACTATAGTTTGTGTGGAGTGATCACCTTATCTGTGGGTGACATGACTGTAGTTACTGTGGGAGGTGACCACCTTATCTGTGGGAGACATGACTGTAGTTAGTGTGGGAATGATCAATTTATCTATGGGAGACATGACTGTAGTTACTGTGGGAGTGATCACCTTATCTGTGGGAGACATGACTGTAGTTACTGTGGGAGTGACCAACTTATCTGTGGGAAACATGACTGTAGTTACTGTGGGAGTGATCACCTTATCTGTGGAGACATGACTGTAGTTACTGTGGGAGTGATCACTTTATGTGATGGGAGACTGACTGTAGTTACTGTGGGAAGATCACCTTATACTGTGGGAGACATGACTGTAGTTACGTGGGAGTGATCACCTTATCTGTGGGAGACATGACTGTAGTTAGTGTGGGAGTGATCACCTTATCTGTGGGAGACATGACTGTAGTTACTGTGGGAGTGATCACCTTATCTGTGGGAGACATGACTGTAGTTACTGTGGGAGTGATCACCTTATCTGTGGGAGACATGACTGTAGTTACGGTGGGAGTGATCACCTTATCTGTGGGATACATGACTGTAGCTACCTTGGGAGTGATCACCTTATCTGTGGGAGAAATGACTGTAGTTAGCGTGGAAGTGATCACCTTATCTGTGGGAGACATGACTATAGTTACTGCGGGAGTGACCACCTTATCTGTGGGAGACATGACTGTAGTAAGTGTGGGAATGATCAACTTATCTACGGGAGACATGACTGTAGTTACTGTGGGAGTGAGCACCTTATCTGTGGGAGACATAACTGTAGTTACTGTGGGAGTGACGAACTTATCTGTGGGAAACATGACTGTAGTTACTGTGGGAGTGATCACCTTATCTGTGGGAGACATGACTGTAGTTACGGTGGGAGTGATCACCTTATCTGTTGGAGACATGACTATAGTTACTGTGGGAGGTGACCACCTTATCTTTGGGAGACATGACTGTAGTTACTGTGGGAGGTGACCACCTTATCTGTGAGAGACATGACTGTAGTTACCTTGGGAGTGATAACCTTATCTGTGGGAGACATGACTGTTGTTACCGTGGGAGTGATCACCTTATCTGTAGGAGACATGACTCTAGTTACTGTGGGAGTGATCACCTTATCTGTGGGAGACATGACTGTAGTTACCGTGGGAGTGATCACCTTATCTGTGGGAGACATGACTGTAGTTACCGTGGGAGTGATCACCTTATCTTTGGGAGACATGACTGTAGTTACTGTGGGAGGTGACCACCTTATCTGTGAGAGACATGACTGTAGTTACCTTGGGAGTGATAACCTTATCTGTGGGAGACATGACTGTTGTTACCGTGGGAGTGATCACCTTATCTGTGGGAGACATAATTGTAGTTAGTGTGGAAGTGATCACCTTATCTGTGGGAGACATGACTGTAGTTACTGCGGGAGTGACCAACTTATCTATGGGAGACATGACTGTAGTTACTGTGGGAGTGATCACCTTATCTGTGGGAGACATGACTGTAGTTACTGTGGGAGTGACCAACTTATCTGTGGGAGACATGACTGTACTTACTGTGGGAGTGATCACCTTATCTGTGGGAGACATGACTGTAGTTACTGTGGGAGTGATCACCTTATCTGTGGGAGACATGACTGTAGTTAGTGTGGGAGTGATCACTTTATCTGTGGGTGACATTACTGTAGTTACTGTGGGAGTGAGCACCTTTTCTGTGGGAGACATGACTTTAGTTACTGAGGGATTGATTACCTTTTCTGTGGGAGACATGACTGTACTTACTGTGGAAGTGATCACATTATCTGTGGGAGACATGACTGTAGTTACTGTGGGAGCGATCACATTATCTGTGGGAGACATGACTGTAGTTACCTTGGCAGTGATAACCTTATCTGTGGGAGACATGACTGTTGTTACCGTGGGAGTGATCACCTTATCTGTGGGAGACATGACTGTAGTTACTGTGGGAGTGATCACCTTATCTGTGGGAGACATGACTGTAGTTACAGTGGGAGTGATCACCTTATCTGTGTGAGACATGACTGTAGTTACTGCGGGAGTGACCACCTTATCTGTGGGAGACATGACTGTGGTTACTGTGGGAGTGATCACCTGATCTCTGGGAGACATGACTGTAGTTAGTGTGGGAGTGATCACCTTATCTGTGGGAGACATGACTGTAGTTACAGTGGGAGTGATCACCTTATCTGTGAAAGACATGACTGTAGTTACTGTGGGAGTGACCACCTTAATTGTGGGAGACATGACTGTAGTTACTGTGGGAGTGACCAACTTATCTGTGGGAGACATGACTGTAGTTACTGTGGGAGTGATCACCTTATCTGTGGGAGACATGACTGTCGTTACTGTGGGAGTGAGCACCTTATCATTGGGAGACATGACTGTAGTTACTGTGGGAATGATCACCTTATCTGTGGGAGACATGACTGTAGTTAGTGTGGGAATGATCACCTTATCTGTGGGAGACATGACTGTAATTAGTGTGGGAGTGATCACCTTATCTGTGGGTGACATGACTGTAGTTACTGTGGGAGTGACCGCCTTATCTGCGAGAGACATGGCTGTAGTTAGTGTGCGAGTGATCACCTTTTCTGTGGGAGACATGACTGTAGTTACTGTGGGAGTGATTACCTTTTCTGTGGGAGACATGACTGTACTTACTGTGGAAGTGATCACATTATCTGTGGGAGACATGACTGTAGTTACTGTGGGAGTGATCACCTTATCTGTGGGAGACATGACTGTAGTTACTGTGGGAGTGACCGCCTTATCTGTAGGAGACTTGACTGTATTTACTGTGGGAGTGACCACTTTATCTGTGGGAGACATGACTGTAATTAGTGTGGGAGTGATCACCTTATCTGTGGGAGACATGACTGTAGCTACTGTGGGAGTGACCACTTTATCTGTGGGAGACATGACTGTAGTTACTGTGGGAGTGATTACCTTTTCTATGGGAGACATGACTGTAGTTACGGTGGGAGTGATCACCTTGTCTGTGAAAGACATGACTGTAGTTACTGTGGGAGTGACCACCTTATCTGTGGGAGACATGACTGTACTTACTGTGGGAGTGATCACATTATCTGTGGGAGACATGACTGTAGTTACTGTGGGAGTGAACACCTTATCTGTGGGAGACATGACTGCAGTTACTATGGGAGCGATCACATTATCTGTGGGAGACATGACTGTAGCTGGTGTGGGAGTGATCACCTTATCTGTGGGAGACATGACTGTAGTTACTGTGAGAGTGATCACCTTATCTGTGGGAGACATGACTGTAGTTACTTTGGGAGTGACCATCTTTTCTGTGGGAGACATGACTGTAGTTACTGTGGGAGTGATCACCTTATCTGTGGGAGACATGACTGTAGTTACTGTGGGAGTGATCACCTTATCTGTGGGAGACGTGACTGTATTTACTGTTGGAGTGACCACGTTAACTGTGGGAGACATGACCGTAGTTACTTTGGGAGTGATCACCTTTTCTGTGAGAAACATGACTGTAGTTGCTGTGGGAGTGATGACCTTTTCTGTGAGAAACATGACTGTAGTTACTGTGGGAGTGATCACCTTTTCTGTGAGAAACATGACTGTAGTTACTGTGGGAGTGATCACCTTTTCTGTGAGAAACATGAACTGTAGTTACGTGGAGTGATCACCTTTTCTGTGAGAAACATGACTGTAGTTACTGTGGGAGTGATCACCTTTTCTGTGAGAAACATGACTGTAGTTACTGTGGGAGTGATCACCTTTTCTGTGAGAAACATGACTGTAGTTACTGTGGGAGTGATCACTTTTTCTGTGAGAAACATGACTGCAGTTACTGTGGGAGTGATCACCTTTTCTGTGAGAAACATGACTGTAGTTACTGTGGGAGTGATCACCTTTTCTGTGAGAAACATGACTGTAGTTACTGTGGGAGTGATCACCTTTTCTGTGAGAAACATGACATGTAGTTACTGTGGGAGTGATCACCTTTTTCTGTGGAAACATGACTGTAGTTACTGTGGGAGTGATCACCTTTTCTGTGAGAAACATGACTGTAGTTACTGTGGGAGTGATCACCTTTTCTGTGGGAAACATGACTGTAGTTACTGTGGGAGTGATCACCTTTTCTGTGGGAAACATGACTGTAGTTACTGTGGGAGTAACTGACTTCATTTAGCACTTTAAGATTGGTTGTTACCTCCACTAAGATACTACAATATTGTAACCTGCTGAAGAGGACCTCAGTTGAGGCCTGAAATACAAACATTAGTCTACTTACCTGTGTTTATGTTGTATTCCCAAGTTCGAGGTTTATAAACCCATAAATCATATGAAAGTTCACATTTGCAACCAAACTAAGACAGGTATGTAACTTGTCGTTGTTAATTCTGATGAAGAATGTTGTTCTCCTTATGCAAGGACCAGTGGACCTGTGGACCAGTGGACCAGTGCACCTGTGGACCAGTGCACCTGTGGACCAGTGGACCAGTGGACCAGTGGACCAGTGGACCAGTGGACCTGTGGACCAGTGGACCAGTGGACCAGTGGACCTGTGGACCAGTGGACCAGTGGACCTGTGGACCAGTGGACCAGTGGACCTGTGGACCAGTGGACCAGTGGACCTGTGGACCAGTGCACCTGTGGACCAGTGGACCAGTGGACCAGTGGACCAGTGGACCTGTGGACCAGTGGACCAGTGGACCAGGGGACCAGTGGACCTGTGGACCAGTGGACCAGTGGACCAGGGGACCTGTGGACCAGTGGACCAGTGGACCTGTGGACCAGTGGACCAGTGGACCTGTGGACCAGTGGACCAGTGGACCTGTGGACCAGTGGACCAGTGGACCAGTGGACCAGTGGACCTGTGGACCAGTGGACCAGTGGACCAGTGGACCTGTGGACCAGTGGACCAGTGGACCTGTGGACCAGTGGACCAGTGGACCTGTGGACCAGTGGACCAGTGGACCTGTGGACCAGTGGACCAGTGGGCCTGTGGACCAGTGGACCAGTGGACCAGTGGACCAGTGGACCAGTGGACCTGTAGACCAGTGGACCAGTGGACCAGTGGCTCAATGGACCAGTGGACCAGTGGACCAGTGGATCAGTGAACCAGTAGACCAGTGGACCAGTGGACCTGTGGACCAGTGGACCTGTGGACCAGTGAACCAATGGACCAGTGGACCTGTGGACCAGTGGACCTGTGGACCAGTGGACCAGTGGACCTGTAGACATGTGACCTGTGGACCTGTGGACCAGTGGACCAGTGGACCTGTGGACCAGTGGACCAGTGGACCAGTGGACCAGTGGACCTGTGGACCAGTGGACCAGTGGACCAGTGGACCAGTGGACCTGTGGACCAGTGGACCAGTGGACCAGTGGACCAGTGGACCTGTAGACCAGTGGACCAGTGGACCAGTGGATCAGTGGACCAGTGGACCAGTGGACCAGTGGACCAGTAGACCTGTGGACCAGTGGACCAGTGGACCTGTGGACCAGTGGACCAGTGGACCTGTGGACCAGTGGACCAGTGGACCAGTGGATCAGTGGACCAGTGGAGCAGTGGACCAGTGGACCAGTGGACCTGTGGACCAGTGGACCAGTGAACCTGTGGACCAGTGGAGCAGTGGAGCAGTGGAGCAGTGGATCAGTGGAGCAGTGGACCAGTGGACCAGTGGACCTGTAGACCAGTGGACCATTGGACCTGTGGACCAGTGGACCAGTGGACCAGTGGATCAGTGGACCAGAGGACCTGTGGACCAGTGGACCTGTGCACCAGTGAACCTGTAGACCTGTGAACCTGTAGACCTGTGGACCTGTGGACCTGTGGAACAGTGGACCTGTGGACCTGTGGATCAGTGGACCAGTGAACCTGTGAACCTGTTGACATGTGGACCTGTGGACCAGTAGACCAGTGGACCTGTTGACCAGTGGACCAGTGGACCTGTGGACCTGTGGACCAGTAGACCTGTTGACTTGTGGACCAGTGGACTAGTGGTCCAGTGGACCAGTGGACCTATGGACCTATGGACCTGTGGACCAGTGGACCAGTAGACCAGTAGCCCTGTGGGCCAGTGGACCAGTGGACCTGTCTACCTGTGGACCAGTGGACCTGTCTACCTGTGGACCAGTGGATCAGTGGACCTGTGGACCAGCGGACCAGTAGACCAGTGGACCTGTGGACCAGTGGACCAGTGGACCTGTGGACCAGTGGACCAGAGGACCTGTGGGCCTGTAGACCAGTGGACCAGTGGACCTGTGGACCTGTGGACCAGTGGACCTGTGGACCTGTGAACCAGTGGACCAGTAGACCAGTAGCCCTGTGGACCAGTGGACCAGTGGACCTGTCTACCTGTGGACCAGTGGACCTGTCTACCTGTGGACCAGTGGACCTGTGGACCAGTGGATCAGTGGACCAGTAGACCTGTGGACCTGTGGACCTGTCCTTTGATGAACTCTCTCTTGTCCTGTGGACCAGTTGACCTGTGGACCTGTGGACCTGTCCTTTGATGAACTCTCTCTTGTCCTGTGGACCAGTGGACCTGTGGACCAGTGGACCAGTGGACCAGTGGACCTGTGGACCTGTGGACCTGTCCTTTGATGAACTCTCTCTTGTCCCCTGCACCACCTACCTCGGTGTGGGACTTGTTCACATAGGCGATGTTCCAGTGGTTGTCGAAGCCGCCCATCTCAGCCTCGAGTGTGTGTAGCTTGCCAAGAGCAACAGCCTGGTCAGTCCCGCTCAGCCACGACGCTGACTTGATAGACTCTTCAACCTCCTCCCTTAGCAGCTCAAGCATACTTGTCGCCTGCGGTATAATAGGTTTCAAGACTATCCACTACACCAGGGTCATTAAGACAGCAACGCCACCCATACACTCTCACAGAGAATTTATAAACCGATGTATATATATATATATATATATATATATATATATATATATATATATATTTTTATTTTTTTATTATCACACTGGCCGATTCCCACCAAGGCAGGGTGGCCCGAAAAAGAAAAACTTTCACCATCATTCACTCCATCACTGTCTTGCCAGAAGGGTGCTTTACACTACAGTTTTTAAACTGCAACATTGACACCCCTCCTTCAGAAGTGCAGGGGTGTTAATGTTGCAGTTTAAAACTGTAGTGTAAAGCACCCTTCTGGCAAGACAGTGGACCTGTGTTATATATATATATATATATATAATATATATATATATATATATATATATATATATATATATATATATAATATATATATAATATATATATAATATATATATATTTATATATATATATATCTCCCACCGATGCAGGGTGACCCAAAAAGAAAGAAAATCCCCAAAAAGAAAATACTTTCATCATCATTCAACACTTTCACCTCACTCACACATAATCACTGTTTTTGCAGAGGTGCTCAGAACACAACAGTTTAGAAGCATATACGTATAAAGATACACAACATATTCCTCCAAACTGCTAATATCCCGAACCCCTCCTTCAGAGTGCAGGCATTGTACTTCCCATTTCCAGTACTCAAGTCCGGCTATATAAAAATTACCGGTTTCCTTGAATCCCTTCACTAAATATTACCCTGCTCACACTCCAATAACTCGTCAGGTCAAAAAATACCATTCGTCTCCATTCACTCCTATCTAACACGCTCTTGCATGCATGCTGGAAGTCCAAGCTCCTCGCCCACGAAACCTCCTTTACCCCCTCCCTCTAACCTTTTCGAGGACGACCCGTACCCCGCCTTCCTTCTCCTACAGATTTATACGCTCTCCATGTCATTCTACTTTGATCCATTCTCTCTAAATGACCAAACCACCTCAACAACCCTTCTGCCCTCTGACTAATACTTTTATTAACTCCACACCTTCTCCTAATTTCCACACTCCGAATTTTCTGCCTAATATTCATACCATACAATGCCCTTAGACAGGACATCTCCACTGCCTCCAACCGTCTCCTCGCTGCAGCATTTACAACCCAAGCTTCACACCCATATAAGAGTGTTGGTACTATTATACTTTCATACATTCCCTTCTTTGCCTCCATAGATAACTTTTTTGCCTCCACATATACCTCAATGCACTACTCGCCTTTTTTCCTTCATCAGTTCTATGATTAACCTCATCCTTCATAAATCCATCCGCTGACACGTCAACTCCCAAGTATCTGAAAACATTCACTTCTTCCATACTCCTCCTCCCCAATTTGATATCCAATTTTTCTTTATCTAAATCATTTGATACCCTCATCACCTTACTCTTTTCTATATTCACTTTCAACTTTCTACCTTTACACACACTCCCAAACTCATCCACTAACCTTTGCTATTTTTCTTTAGACTCTCCCATAAGCACAGTATCATCAGCAAAAAGTAACTGTGTCAATTCCCATTTTGTATTTGATTCCCCATAATTTAATCCCACCGCTCTCCCCAACACCCTAGCATTTACTTCTTTTACAACCCCATCTATAAATATATTAAACAACCATGGTGACATTACACATCCCTGTCTAAGACTCTAAGACCTACTTTTACCGGGAAGTAGTCTCCCTCTCTTCTACACACCCTAACCTGAGCCTCACTATCCTCATAAAAACTCTTTACAACATTTAGTAACTTACCACCTATTTCATATACTTGCAACATCTGCCAAATTGCTCCTCTATCCACTCTATCATATGCCTTTTCTAAATCCATAAATGCAATAAAAACTTCCCTACCTTTATCTAAATACTGTTCACATATATGATTCAATGTAAACACTTGATCTACACATCCCCTACCCACTCTAGAACCTCCTTGATCATCTGCAATCATACTCTCTGTCTTACCTCTATTTCTTTCAATTATAATCCTACCGTACACTTTTCCTGGTATACTCAGTAAACGTATTCCTCTATAATTTTTACAATCTCTTTTGCCCCCCTTCCCTGTATATAAAGGGACTATACATGCTCTCTGTCAATCCCTAGGTACCTTCCCCTCTTTCATACGTTTATTAAACAAAAATACCAACCACTCCAACACTATATCCCCCCCCCCCTGCTTTTAATCTTGAGGTTAATGATGAGCTTGGGGAAAGTGATCACAAATCACTTAGTTTCAATATATCATGGAATTACCCAGATAACTGCATTCAAATCTCTGTCCCAGATTTTCGCTTGGCAGAATTCATGGAACTGAAAAATTACCTGGGCGGGCTAAATTGGGATGTCCTGACTGTGGGTCAGGTAGGTGATCTTGGTTGTCAATATTCCGTTTTTCAGAGCATAGTTCTAGCTGCCCAGACAACTTTTGTTCCAAGTAGGGAAATTAGATCTAACAAAAATGATCCCAAATGGATGAACAATAGATTAAAACATCTCATTGGTCAAAAGAAAGGCATATATAGGCGTATCAAAAGATGGGATGGGTAGTTAAGAAATCAATATATTCAATTAAAGTGAGAAATAATGAAAGGAATAAGAAAAGCAAAAAGGGATTATGAGGCTAAGGTCGCAAGGGATTCAAAGACTAACCCTAAAGGGTTCTTTCAGGTATACAGAAGTAAGATTAGGGACAAGATTGGCCCACTTAAGAGTAACTCTGGTCAGATCACTGACAGTGATAAGGATATGTGTGAAATTCTCAATACCTACTTCCTCTCAGTTTTCACCCAGGAAAATACTAGCGATATTCCTGAAATAATAGATTATGTAGAACAGGATGATAATAAACTATGCACGATTGCGGTAACTAGTGAAATGGTCCTCAGACAAATAGATAAATTAAAACCTAACAAATCCCCAAGTCCTGAAGAACTGTATATGGACTCAGTAAGGCTTTCAATAGAGTTCCACATAAGAGGCTATTTAGGGAACTAAGGCACACGGAATAGGAGGAGAAACTTTTTCCTGGGTAGAGGCATGGCTGACAAATAGGCAGCAGAGTTTGCTTAAATGGGGAGAAATCAGAATGGGGGCACGTCACAAGCGGTGTTCCTCAGGGGAAGTGTTGGGCCCCTTGTTGTTCACAATTTACATAAACGACATAGATGAGGGAATAAATAGCGACATAAGCAAATTTGCTGATGAAGGATATAGGAAAGCACTGGTTTGGTAATAGAGTTGTGGAAGAGTGGAACAAACTCCCGAGTACAGCTAATCTGGCTAAAACGTTGTGTAGTTTTAAAAATAGGTTAGATAAATACATGAGTGGGTGTGGGTGGGCGTGAGTTGGACCTGACTAGCTTGTGCTGCTGGGTCTGGTGCCATGCTCCTTCCTTGAGTGGAGGTGACCAGACTGGGTGGGTTATTGGGCTATTCCGGAGGGGGGGGGACATGGACCTGCTCCGCATGGGTCAGTAGGCCTGTTGCAGTGTTCCTTCCTTCTTATTTTCTTATGTTCTTATCCCATCAGTTCCAGCTGCTTTACCCCCTTTCATTCTACGTAATGCCTCACGCACCTCCCCCACACTCACGTCCTGTTCTTCTTCACTCCTAAAAGATGGTATACCTCCCTGGCCAGTGCATGAAATTACCGCTTCCCTTTCTTCGTCGACATTTAAAAGTTCCTCAAAATATTCTCGCCATCTACCCAAAACCTCCATCTCCCCATCTACTAACTCCACTACTCTGTTTTTAACTGACAAATCCATTCGTCCTCTAGGCTTTCTTAACTTGTTTAACTCACTCCAAATTTTTTTCTTATTTTCATCAAAATTTATTGACACTGCCTCTCCCATTATATATACATGTGTGCGAGGGGCTTGGACTTCCAGCAGGCATGCGTGAGCGTGTTTGATAGGAGTGAATGGAGACAAATGGTTTTTAATACTTGACGTGCTGTTGGAGTGTGAGCAAAGTAACATTTATGAAGGGATTCAGGGAAACCGGCAGGCCGGACTTGAGTCCTGGAGATGGGAAGTACAGTGCCTGCACTCTGAAGGAGGGGTGTTAATGTTGCAGTTTAAAAACTGTAGTGTAAAGCACCCTTCTGGCAAGACAGTGATGGAGTGAATGATGGTGAAAGTTTTTCTTTTTCGGGCCACCCTGCCTTGGTGGGAATCGGCCGGTGTGATAATAAAAAAAAAAATAATAACATATATATATATATATATATATATATATATATATATATATATATATGTCGTGCCGAATATGCAGAACTTGCGAGCTTGGCTTAAATAGCAACGCTCATCTTGCCATATAGGACAAGTGAAAATTTGTGTATACAATAATTTCGCCAAAATCATTCTGAACCTAACGAAAAAAATATATTCCACTGTGTTTGATTAGTATTAAATTATTGTAAACAAATCTAAAATACATTTAGTTGGGTTAGGCTAAAATAAATTGTTCTTGTTATAATAAGGTTAGGTAAGTTTTCTAAGACTCTTTTGGTGCAAAATTAAAAAATTTTACATTAACATTAATGAAAAAAAATGTATCTTTAAACGTATAAGAGAAAATTTTAGAAAGTACTTAATTTTAAATGAGTTCTTGCTAATTGAGCAGTTTTACATATTCGGCACGACATATATATATATATATATATATATATATATATATATATATATATATATATATATATATATATATATATATATATGTGTGTGTGTGTGTGTGTGTGTGTACTCACCTATTTGTGGTTGCAAGGGTCGAGTCATAGCTCCTGGCCTCGCCTCTTCACTGATTGCTACTAGGTCCTTTCTCTCCCTGCTCCATGAGCTTTATCATACCTCGTCTTAAAACTATGTATGGTTCCCGCCTCCACTACATCACTTTCTAGGCTATTCCACGGCCTGACAACTCTATGACTGAAGAAATACTTCCTAACATCCCTTTGACTCATCTCAGTCTTCAACTTCCAATTGTGACCTCTTGTTTCTGTGTCCCATCTCTGGAACATCCTGTCTTTGTCCACCTTGTTTATGCCGCGCAGTATTTTATATGTCGTTATCATGTCTCCCCTGACCCTCATGTCCTCCAGTATCATCAGTCCGATTTCCCTTAACCTTTTTTCGTAGGACATTCCCCTTAGCTCTGGGACTAGTCTTGTTGCAAACCTTTGCACTTTCTCTAATTTCTTGACTTGCTTGACACAGTGTCTTCAACGATTCCTTAAAGAGGCACCTGAACGCTGTTCTCAGGTTTGCCAGGCGCCCATATGCCGCAGCAGTTGTCTGGTTAATGTGTACTTTTGGCAACGTACTCGATATTATACTCACCCCAAGATCTTTCTCCTTGAGTGAGGTTTGCAGTCTTTGGCCGCCTAGCCTATGCTCTGTCTGCGGTCTTCTTTGCCCTTCTCCGACCTTCATGACTTTGCATTTGACAGGGTTAAATTCTAGAAGCCAGTTTCGGGACCACGCTTCCAGCCTGTCCAGGTCTCTTTGTAGATCTGTCTGGTCTGCATCTGATTTAATTCTCATTAACTTCACATCATCTGCAAACAGGGACACTTCTGAGTCTATCCCTTCGTCATGTCGTTCACATATACCAAGAATAGCACTGGTCCCAGGAGTGACCCCTGTGGGACCCCGCTCGTCACAGGCGCCCACTGTGATACCTCATCACGGACCATGACTCGCTGTTGCCTCCCTGTTAGGTATTCTCTGATCCATTGCAGTGACCTTTCTGTTATATGTGCCTGCTCCTCTAGCTTCTATACTACTCTCTTGTGAGGAACTGTGTCAAAGGCTTTCTTGCAGTCCAAGAATATGCAATAAATTCACCCCTCCCTCCCATGTCTTGCTTCAGTTACCTTGTCATAAAACTCTAGTAAGTTTGTGATAGAATTGGCTGTCGTTTATAATCTTGTTCCACTCCAGGTGCTCCACCAGTCTCCTGATAATCTTCTCCATGACTTTGCATACTATACA